CTAAAAATATTCTTGGCATCTTTCAAAATATTCTTATTCCTAAGGAATATTCCTCGCTCCCCTTTCACCTATAAAATCCCCCTGAGGCGAGGAGAAAATTGCTCCTTTTTTTCTTCTCCCTTCTCCCTCTAACTCTCTTACAGTTGAGGCTTTCCACTATTTTTTGTAGGTGATTTTTCCTACGCAAAATCAGTGCCCCTCTCTCTGTGCAGAAGTTCATCCCCTACTCAAATTCAGGGCCTCTCTCCTTGTGTAAAAGTTAAAATTTTTACAGCGATTCCTTTTCTTTCTCCTCCCTCGTTTTAACTTTCTTATAGTTGAGGCATTCTCCTATTTTGGTAGGTGGTATCCCCCACTCAAATTCAGGACCTCTCTTCTTGTATAGAAGTTAGCATTTTTATAGTCATTTATTTTCTTCTCCTCTAGTATGCTTCTTACATTAGAGACATTTCACTATCGGAGATAAGTGACATTCTCCTATCAAGCTTCAGCGCCCCTCTCTTGTATAGAAGGAGATGTTTTCCTCCTTATTCTTCTCTTGCATTCTTCTTCTTATATTGGAGTCATATTTCATTATCAGAGATAGGCGACATTCCCCTATTAAGTTCAGTGCCCCTCTCTTATATAGAAGAAGACACGATGAGAGACTATCTTCTTAATAGATAATCCTTGATAGAAGAAGATCAATTGCTGCTTATATGCGATGGTGATTTGAGAAGATCTGATGATAATATTACTCGAAAGGAGAACCATAAGTTATTAGCAGACAAGGATAATTTCAATATTGTTCGAGCACAAGTCTATTGGTGATAGAAGATCGAGTTGAAGCCCATTTGCAGTTAACAATCGAGTGTAGAGCTAAAGGAGAGAGTTAGAGGGTGTGCTACTGTCATTAGTTGAGCAAGAAGCCGATGATGACATATATAAAGTGAAGGATTGATAGCGGACATCAAGTGAAGGGCTGATGATGGAGATAGTCCAGTAGCATTTTGCTAAGGCAATATGCATCCATACAGAAGTGTGCTGACATTATATATCCCTGATTCAAGGAGCTAGCCAAAGTAGTGTGTTATGTTAGTAGTCTGGTGAATTATGTATAGTGTTAACTGAGTTGAGTCTTGATGAAGATCAAATTGTAATCTTTGCTTAAAGAAATTATAAGAAATGCATTGAGGTGCGGTAGAAAAAAAGTCACAAAAATCCACCAAAAATATTTGGCTATTTTGAAGTTGTTTGTTGCTTGATGATAGTAACTTGTATGATTGATTTCAATTTACTTTTTAATTTCAACTTCTAGTAAGAAAAAATGGACACATGAATATATATTTATGTAACTCCATTGATATTATATATAAAGTTGAGAACTTGTCCCTTAGAGAAAGTTAAATTGTTATTGTATCTTTGAGACATGCTTTGATATATTTTATAATATGCTTTTTTGAGGTTTTTTAGGGGTGTCAATTTTGGGTCACGGGTCAGGTTCAGGTCAAACAAGTCGATCCTAAACTGACCCTGGTATGTAAATGGGTCGGACACTCGGACCCAGACCCAACCCATCGAGTTGGCAGGTTGACCCAACCCGACATGATTTGGCATTTAGCGGCGGCGGGACTACTGGCGACATGCGTGGGCACGAATGCGTGTGGGCTGCGCGGATGCGGACTCGTGTGAGCGGTGGGGCCCACGAGCTAACATGGGTGCAAACTGCATGGTTCGCGAGAATGCGTGCAAGCAGGTAGGCGGTGGGCTAGGGGTAGCTCGGGCACCAGTGAGGCGTGCATGGGCAATAGCGGGGTGCGCTAGTGGGCAACCTCGGGGCACGCGAGCGGAAAACAACGGGGCGCGCACATGTTTTCGCGAACCATGTGATTAGCTTATGCAGGTGAGGGTAGCTCAGGTAGCGCACACGAGTGGCAGCTGGCAGGCAGGAGGGGGCAGCTATGAGTAGTTCAATTTAAACAGGTTTTTAGGTTGATCAGGCAATCTGTTGGGTTAACCCGAATCCGACCCTTTTTCAAACGGGTCGAATCTGGGAACTTGAACCTGATTCATTTTGAAATCGGGTTGGGTCCAACCCAAATTTTTCAGGTCGGATTCGGGTCGAGTTTTTGTGTCCTGTCAAATATTGACACCCCTAGGTTTTTTAGCTTGCTAAGATATTCATATGAGTGATTATTTTATCATCTACTTGCTTTCATAGAATCTTTATATAGATGTATGACCTATCTGAGGTTATATGTCAGAGCCATACTCAATGATGTTCACTTATGTGAAAAAGGTTGAGAGAATCCACCAAGGATATATGACCTATCATTCGTAGTATAAACAACATGGCGTTTGAAAACAAATTTGATGATGATTGTTTGAATTTTACTTAATTTATTTTTAGTAGTTCCATTCTTTTGCTTTTGATTGCTGGCATGTTTTTTTCATCTATAATCCTGTGAAGCCAGCTATATTACAAGGAAAAGTAGAAACAACATGGCAGTCAAATTAAATTGTTAGCATTGTTATTAACATAATATCAACACAATAATACATAAATTAGAAGGAAAAATCAATAGTTGCGTGAAAGCTCTATTCTTATAACAGTGATGACAACTGTGAAAATCTTGCATTTGAAAACAAATTTGATGATGAATTTTTCAGCAAAAAATATAAATTAAAAAAACTCTTAAAATAAGTGCATCTTATTTGTTTTTTTTTTTTTGTTTATTTTTTGACATGGACTGGAAGATATACCAAAATATTTGAACTTTATAATCCTTAAAGATTTCAGAGGATGGTGGAGATGGGCATAACCAAGAACATGACATAATTGTAGATATAGAGGATAATAAAGGAGATATTAATTCAAAAATTAATCATTGAAATAACTAGTATCAATGTAAGAGGGCTGAGTTGGAGATATGCATGGTAATGCTAATGATGGCCATAATGAAAATCATTAAATTTTTAAAGCTTTTGATTTCATATAGGAGGAAGTAATTAATGTTCTGTCTTAGCTTGTGGGTTTTGAAGCTTTTTTATTTTGGTCATATATTAAAAGCATAGAGCTTTCATTTTGACCCATTGATTAAGTCATGTTGAATAAGTAGTTTAATCGTTAGTTATGTTTACACATCTCGCTCAACTTTTATGTTTGTCCTGTCCTTTCAGGCCCTTTGTTCTCAATTAAGCTGAGGCTCATGTTAATAGGCAAAAATTTGATATCTCAATCTGAATGGAGTCCCAAATATTTTAGAGGGATTGAAAGCTTCCTAATTTTTGCATATCATGGTGAATATTCTAGAGGCCAAATTTTCTATCGTGATTGGTCATGCATTAATTGATATTTTGAACTCTTAATGAAGTTAATTATAATTTTGGAGATTTTTGATTTAATTAAACGGTTTTTTGGTTTGAAGTATTTTTTTAATGGATTCTAAATTGGTTGATTTGGTTCATTTTCGAATACACCACAAGTTGTCTCCTTAACTACCATTGTTTGCTTCCATTTGTCATTGTTATCGTTGTCATCATCATCCACCACCATTGCCTATCACATCTATTGACCATTAATGTTCCCCATGCCGCCATCATCTAGTCGTATCATCGTCCTTTGCCCCCACCTGTCGTAGCCTACTATTATGCCGCATCCATTATTATTAAGCTTTACACTGAATTCATTTTACTTCAAATCAAACACAAACAAGTAATGTCTTGTATTTATTTTTCATTCAATAAAACAACTCTAAAATATTTCATATATACTATATTTATTTTAGATTAAATTTTTTTACTCTGTGTTCATTCAATAAAACAACTCTTTAATCTCAGAAGGAATATCATGGGGTATGTTGAATGGAAATGACATTAAGATGATATATAATATTTGGTTCATGAGTCTAAGCATAATCATATATATATATGGCATACAAATGAAACTCACATTACAAAAGCAATTCTAATTTCTCAAGCTTACTTTATAATAGTTGATGATATGAAAGTTTTATTTCAAGATATAATTGGTCTATCAAGTATGCAAGTCAAAGTAAAAGAAGATGATATAGAGGTTGTGCTGACAAATGAGCAACAAAAAATTAAGCCGTTGTTTGATAAGCATGCATTTTCAAAATTAATAAAATAACTCAATTCATAGTCATATTAGCGGTGCAAGAAATATTTTCATAATGCATCTTTATCATGTATGTGTATAGAGTTTCGTTCTTTAAAAAAACCCAATGGGTTAACGATCACTTCAAGAAAAATGATTCCAACTTTTGTCATACCTCAATAGCAACCTCCCTTAGCACCTCATCACCGAGTGAAAGAAGAATGGCACTGCAAACCTTCAATTGCAACTCTTGGGCATTTGCTCTATCTACCATTAATGCGAAACCGTCCCTCATAATGGATTCAAAAAGTCTTTGATGAACTAGAAGTGCCTACATCTTGATAATTCATAGGATGAAGTCATTTTCCCCAGTGAATTTGCCAATTTCAAATTTCAACATTGATATTATCTCAGCTTTTCTTTTCTGACTCTATGATACTAATTGTTATTCAGAAAACATATCAGAACTAGATCTCACATCTTATCGCGATGGTCCGTCATTCTTGTTTCTTAAAGCTCCATATGATTTCCTCACTTCTTTGTTATATATGATTACAATAATTTCCATAGGGGAGGGAAATTGAGAGATCAAGAGATGGAACATTAGGCCAGGTGCCAATGACATCTTGTAAAGGCTGACACATGAGGGGAGACTAACACATAAAGGGAGACTAAAGTGGCCACAGAGATAATAATGACATGATGGTATTATGTGGCATTATTTTTTATTTTGTTTTGAAATTTTAAGTGATATGGCATAAATAATGAAGATTATATGTGAAATATTTAAAATTTAGTACTTTTATAGTTTTATTATTTCACAAAAAGTAAATTAATTTTTATTTAAAACCTGCTCAAAACCTTCTGCCGAACAGCCCAACGTTGCGATTAAGCGAGCTAATGTAGCATATAGCACCAGCAACCTCAAGTCAAGTCTCAGACGTCTGAGCCGGCCTGTCGTGGAGTCCTCCATCTCTTTGAGAAAAGCTGTGAAATTTTCCATACGACAGCAGCTGGAGAGTACTCATGCCTTCATTAGCTACGCGGCCGGAGCGGCAAACGGATTACCGCCGCTTTTCCCCGGCGATCCCCATCATTATCGACAATGGCGGCTTCAACTTCCGGATTGGGTAACGCCCACGCCCAGAAACCTAACCCTTGTCCTTAATCTGTTAAAACATTGATCCCTTCCATGGGATATTCTTTCGCTTAAAAGCCTTTCTATTAACTCTCAGATGGGCGGGAGAATCAGATCCCCGCATCACCTTCCGCAATCTCGTCTATCGGCCACGCCACAAGGCAACAGGTATGTTATGCCATTCCATGAGTGTAAATTTTCTCTGGCAGGATTAGCGGTTGTTTATGATTTGATGAAACTTCATTTGCTTTCCACTGAATTCTTCATCAGAGATTGATACTTCTCTTAAGACGGTCTTCCTCAATCCTTAAAATAGGGTTAATCGCCATTGATAGACTACTATTATCTCATGATTATCTACTAGTTGATGATCAGTATGATGGAATACTGTAGGGTATTTGATGAAAACGGACTCATGGCATTCTCTGTTAAATGAGGGTAAATAATATCTTTTTAGTAGAGTTGGCAGTCATTCATAATTTTATTAAACTTTTGATTTACACTGAATTCTTCATTAGAAGAAGATGGCTTTGTTGATATCTCTTAAGATGGACTTTCTCATTCCTTATAAAAAGTCTGATTTCCGAAGAAAGACTCATTTTACTTTATAATTAAGCATTGCTTGTTGATGGGCATGATGACTTCTTGCATTTTAAGTAAACATGGATAGTTTGAAGTTACACTGCCTTAGTTTTAAGGTATTTAGCTATCTTCTATCCAAACTCATGAGTAGTGGACTACTGATTTTATAAGATAGTCTTGGCAAAATATTCTCATGTAATTGATGTTTCTCATTAGGGGTAGCAATGATCTTTTTCTCGACTCGAACTTGAAATGTTTGACTTTAGCTCAACTAGAACTCAATTTATTATTCTAATTGAGTTGACACAACTTGAAGGGAGTTGACTTTGAGCTGATTTCAGTTAGCTATATAGTTAAATAGGCGATATATAAACTATTTAATGTAAAAACCACTAAAAGGCAGTTGAAAAATATTAAAAAATAAGCGAAAGAGGGACTAAACATGAATCAGATGAAAAAGCAATAATGGCCAACTATTGAGCCAACCATTTCATGCAATTTTTTTTATAATAATATAGTATAATATATTTATTTTTAATTGGCTCAAGTCACATTTTGAGCAAGTCATGTTGCATTCAAAATCAATTTGAAAAAATCTTGAGTTAAAAAGCAAACTTGTAACTTGACTCAAAAGTTATTGAATCAATTTTGAATTGACTCAAAGCTCCAACAAGTTTCTAGCTTCACACAAAACTACCAACCCTATTTCTCATGCACATTGCTTGATGCAATGTGACCTTAGCACTTTCGGAGCTTTGGCAACACAAGGTGCCATTTGAGCAGCTTGGCACTTATAGTTGTTAAGTCCGTAAATTTTTAGAAGATGAGTGACTTGGGCTACTTTGGCAATGCATTTGCACTTTATGATGTAGGACTATATATGCTTTAAATCATGGTTTAAAATTGCGCACATGAGGCTCGCCTTGAGGCCCTCCTTTGCGCAATTCCAGTAAAAAACGCCTCGATGCTTACGCCTAGAGTTTTTTTAATGAGGCTTGCACCTCAACTTGGTTGAGGCCCACCTTGAGCCCCGCCTCGCCTCACTGGCAAGAGGCTTACGCCTCACGCTATATATATTAAAACTGACATAATTCTTGAAGTAAATGCCCAATATTGGACTCTATAGGAGAGGAAGAAGGGGAGAGAGCAGTTCATCATAATGATGATTCAAATGAAGAACCCCTTAATGATGACAGTGCTGATGACTTATGAGTTCTTATGTCATATGTCATTGCTATTTATTTTTGGAAATTTGAATTATATGTTAATGAAAAGAATATTGAGATTTGGGAAAGATAGAATTTTGAGTTTAACTATATTTCATATTGTCTTATTATTGAGATATTTTGATTTTACTTCATATCTTATGTTTTTTTATGTTTTATATTATTCATTCATTAGTATATAAAAAAATTTATCATTTTATGTTTACGCAATCTTTTGATTTTGAGGCTTACGCCTCAAAACGCCTTGAGGCTTACGCCTCGCCTCACGAATAAAAAACGCCTTAATACCCGAATACGCAATTTTAAACATTGCTTTAAATGATTGATATAAGAATTTGCACGCTTTCAAGCAAGAGCAATAAGAATTAAAACGTTAGCCTCTTAATGAAAATAAAAAATAAGAGAGGGGTAGAGGATTTTCAATAACATCCCTAGATTAACAACGAAATTAGATGCATAGAAATCAATCATCATTTCCTACATTTATTAAGCTTTGGCAGATAGCTTTGCACAATTCCTTATGCTTGATTCACAACCTACAATCGAAGAAGTTTAGAAAGGAAATTGACGAGGGGGAAAGAGTTCACCCTTATCTTGGCGTGGTGGTGATTTGCCACTGGACGGTGGAAAGTTGTTCTTCAATGGCTTCCGAAAGGGTGAATATGATTCGCTCGAAATATTCCTTGATGGAATTATCTACCTCCGGATTAACGTTTAAGAAAGGTGATCCGAGAATGTCAACGAAGCCTTGTTCGTTGGAGACGAAGCCGGAGTCAAGTTCAGGATCGACCATGCATAGAATACGTAGTGTTGAACTGTTGTGGAAGACGTCCTTTTCTATCCATGTGGATTCCCCTTGAGAGAAAGAAGTTTCTCTAAGGAATCCAAGTTGAGGAAGGGGTGAGAGGGTGGCCGGCCAATTAGAGTTGATTGGGTCCAATGAGAATTAATTTAATTGAGAATAGTTAGAGAGGGAGAGAGGGAGAGAGGCGGCTAGGAGTTTCCTAAAGTGGGATTTTAATTTGGAAAGGATTTAATGGGATTGGAGAGAGGGAGGGGGCGGGTAAGAGAGAGGGAGAGGGTTTGAAATCTTTCCTAAGTAAGAGGCTTAACTTTGGAAAGCATTTAAGGGGTGGGGACAAGGATGGGAGGCCGGTGGCATAGGGAAGGGAATTGGGGAGATTTAGGAAAGGAATTTAGTACTTACTTAAATAGGAATCTCAAATTAAGGAAGATGATCTAATTTCAATCCAATTTAAATCTAATTTGGATTTGATTTAGAAACTTTCCTAAATAGGATTCTATTTTAGGAAATATTTCAGAATTCAAATTTTGATTGAATAATTGAAATTAAAAACTTTTCCAAAAGAGATTATGTAAGAAAGGAAAATAATAATGAGGGGTTTTGAAATTTTGGAGGCAAAGAGGAAGGTGAGGTGGGGGGTTTTGGCCGTGGGCTAGGGCCGACGGCTTAAGGGGCGGGTTGGGGAATTTGGCCGAGTGGTAAGGAGGGGTGGTGGGGGCTTGACCGTGAGAGGGGAAAGAGGGGTTAGCGCCGGCGGTGGTGAGGTGGAGTAGGTGTGAAGATAGGAAAGAAAGAACCACGAACCCGGACGCTTCCAAGGTTGGTGGGTGATCTGCTTTCATCTCCTAGGATTTTCTCTCCAAAGACTCTCAAGCTCTCACAAGAACTCAATTTGCAGGAATTTGATTATAATTCATTTATTAACTTCAAAAGAATAAGGGACCTATATATAGCCTCATACAATGAAAGGGAACTAAAAGACGACATTGCCCTAGGTCTTACATATGACAAAACCCTTAAGGGTAAAATGAGAAATGCTGATAAAACACATACATAAAGCAAATAAATAAAACAAATACATATGAACACTTAAAAATGGATCAGCACGATCGTGGCCGTAGTACGTCGGCCATGGCTCTAATATACTTTCCATGATCTGATATCCCCATCACCTTATCACTTTTAATTTATTTTGATCTTGTTTGACAAAATTTAAAGCTCAAGCTAGATTGTGTTTAGCAGTGTTGGCATTAATGAGCTTCAATGTATTTCATTCTTAGCTACTTTTTTTTTTCCACACAATTTTTTAAGCTGGTTGCTATATCATCTTCTTTCAGCTTAGGGGCAAAATGTTCTCCTATATTTGCTATTTATCATTTTCTTCTAGCTTTTCATGCGCAGACTTTTCTTTCATATTTTTTTTCTCCGACCATTTTCTGAAATATATTTATAATATTAATTTGAATTTTGTGCTGTCATATTACCTTTTTTCATCATGTTATTTATCATGTATGTTTTTATTTGCATGAGTATTGAATTGCGATACTTATTCTTACTTTTTTAATAGAATATATGAAGAAAGTGTTGTTATCTATGAATGTGAACTATTGATTCTAAATGTTCTTTATAGGTTTATGCCACTTGAATGAGCCTTTGTAGATCGTTATTTATCTTACTTTTTGTATAGAGTATTTATTAGAAATTTATTTGTTACATTGTAAATGCATCATTAGGCTTTCTTTCTTATCCCTAATTTTTTTTGAAAAAGTGTAGCCTTTATTTTACCACTATACCTCTGGGACTCAAAACCTTCATGGATCCTTTAACATTATTAAATATATTTACGAACGTATTTCATTTTTCTTGATTCATGTCCATAGAAAAGTTCCTTTCTTTTATGCCCCTACTTCCCCAAGTTGTTGTAATTAATAATTGTGATATTTTTTGTCTTTGTTCAATGCCTTTAACAATAGGCAGCAACTAAACAGAATGCCCTTGATTCCCTTCTGGAGTTATGCATCACTTTATTTCTTATCATCTTCTTATGGGTTATGTATTGATCCATGAATATTCTATGCATCGCAGGAGAAACAGTGACAATTGTTGGTGATCATGATCCTGTACTTTTGAAATACTTTGATTGCACACGCTCATCTTATCGCTCTGCCTTTGACAGCAATGTTGTCTATCAATTTGAAATAATGGAATATGTAAGTAACAAGCTAGATCTCTTTTTGAATGGCCATTAGTTTCCATCATGAGGGTAGGCGTTTATATATACCATCTATCATAGCCTTCATAATTTCTTGTTTTTTATTCTAAATTGCTCAGAGTTATAGTGGCTACAGTTACTCTAAATTATTAGTCCGCATGCATTAAAAAGCCATTTTCACCATGATTATGACTTGACATGGTTAAGCCAGTTCAGTTGGTTCATTGAATTATTTTTAAGTGGTAGTTAACACCTATGTTTCTTCTTTTCTGATGTGTTGTTTTACTATGTTTCCATTGCCATATCCTGATATTCATACCAAACTTAAAACCCTTCTAATTTAGTCAAAGTTAAGTCATTTCTTCATCATGGCTGGTGCATCACTTTGGTATGAAAAACATAATTCCTCGGTTTTCATTTTTTTAATTTTAATGTTCTCGTATCTATTTCTTCATTTCCTTAAATTTTATCTACAACTATTTTTGTCCTTAATTTTTCGCATTTGTTCTTACAGAAAAAATATGCTCATTACATGTAGGTCCTTGACTATGGTTTTGACCGGTTGGGGGTTGAAGATTCACCGGTAAGGATGAGATAGACTTCTTACATGTATTTATTGACAATGTCATCATGTGTAAAAATAGTAGCTTCCTTACCTTAACTGCTATGGTCATCTTTTTGTATGCTTCTAGGTAATCGCTTGTCTTTACTTTTGTACTTCAGTTTAGTTGACTTTTTGCTAACTATTATTGACCATGATACGTGAGTTTTTTCCTCTTGAGCCCATCAAATGATTTGATCCAAAACCTTCATAATTAATGTGCACAAATGATTTGACAATGTGGCATATATCAGATGATTATTGACCTTATTTTGATTTTGTTATGGGTTGTAAATGTTTAGTTTTCATCATGAAGGGAAACATAGAAACTTGTATTGTACAAAGGGATGATGTTGTATGGACATACATGAAGTGAACATAGAGTTACATCAAAGTATAAATAGTCAAGAGTTTGTATATAGGATAATATATCATTAATTGAAGCATAATTATAGCTTCAACGTTATTTGACCATGTAATGAATTGGCTTATTATTCTTTGGAGACAGCTTAACTTTTGGCTTTTAAATAAAAATTGGGAATGATGCCAACTGATCTGATTATTCTAAGAGAAGGTGATGTGGTGATTGTAGTTTATATTCTTGTGATCCCATTGTGACATCTCTCGCCTTGTCATGATGTGGCTTCTTCGTTGTGGCTATTTACTCTAGTTATTTTTATGATTCCTTCCTTCCGTTGTTGAGTTTAGTTGTTTCTATGCCTTGTAATGTGGCTTATATTGTGACTTATGAATTCTCCCGCAAGGTAGTAACTTGCTTGGGTTTTTTTCTCTATGAGACGATATATTGATGATTAATCTTAGAGCTGTTAGTGTGACACTTTGTAGGTGCATTTTCTCTGAATTTTTGAATTCTCCTCCAGTATGTTCTTTTTGGAGATGATATCTATTCTTGTGGTATTATAAATGGTGCATAAGGCATATAAAAATTATTATACAATTAAAAAAATATTTTTGAATGAGTAAATCTTTAAAGTTTAAGACTTGAAGGGTTCCATAAGGGGCTATCTCCTTGTGTAAGTGCAAGCCTTACTTCTTAGCGACTACTAATTTTTTTCCTCTCTCTCTCTCTCTCTCTCTCTCTCTCTCTCTCACACACACACACACATTCTCCAATAGTCATTGTCTATTACTAGTTGAAAGCATAAGTGAATTTTATCAAATGAATTGCATGATGATATTATTTCTTTTGCGTAACATTTTGTCATTTTCATGTCTTTTGTGATTCCTAGATTGCTTGTTAATTTCTAGTAAAAGTCCAGAATCTTGTCTTCTGAATTGGAACTTACTATTTTTTAAAAGTTTTCATTTATAGTGGTAAATAGTTATTTAAGACTGTTATATGATTTTCTTGCAAAAAATTGTTTACATCATCAAAATCTACTTTGTATATCAGATTCGTATTATAAATTTTAGGTCCTTAATATCTTGCATTATATGTGATATCAAAGCTTAGGGTTATATTACAATATCTCTAAAAGAGAGGCACACTATCAGGGCCAATTAACATATCAATGAAAAGACAATTTAAGTAAAATTAACTTATGATTTTGGAAATTTCAACATAAACATTATGGAATCATGGATTATATTTTTATAGTTGAGGGGAGACATAATCCAAGTTACTTTCATATAGGTTCGTTTAATTATATAAGTTTTTTTAAAAGTTCTAAATTGTCTTATCTAAAGGATTGAATATAAAACAAAATAAGGAGACTCGCTCTAACTTTTTGACAATGTATTGCTAATAAAGAAAATCTACAAGAACTAAAATGAATCATAAACTTAAAGAGTAATATTTGTTAATAGTGTCTCATAAAGGTTAAGTTGACATGAATCCTTTAATCATGACATGTCTTATAAAGGTTAAGTGCATGGTAAATCTAAAAACTTTAAGCAATGTGATTATAATGAGTTTAAACATAAAATGTTTAGCACATGAAGTTTTAACTATTCAAAAGAAGGAATGATAGGATTAGCTTCTTCAGTGGTTTGTCTCTGAACTTCTATATCATCTTCAATAAATATCATAGTGTTAGGCTGGCTCCTCTTGGGAGGGCTGAATCGGTCCCTAGTGGACTGGTTTGGACGTATAGCAGGTAGCCCAAACTGGGCGAAACCAGGGAAGAGAGAGGGGGGGATGATGCTCCTAGGGACCCACTTGCTAATTAAATTTGCTTTGGAGGGAATTTTTGAATTAGGAGATTGTTTAGGAAATTTGTAATTGTCCTTTGTCTTTAAGTAGGAAATTTGTAATTGTCCTTGTCTTTAATTAGTTGCTTTTGGAGAAGGGTTAGGGTTTATGCATGATTTGAATTTCTTTGAAGTTTCTTGGCATCTTGGGCTCTAGACTTCCTTGTCTAGAGATTTGAGAGAGACGACCCTCCTCTCGAATTGAGGATCCCTTGTATCTTGTTCTAGTGTTTGTTTGGCTTGATTCTCATATTGCAATCCATTGTTTTGGGGGCTGTTGTCCCCCAGATTTTGCTTATTTCTCGTTGTTTTTTTTCAATTAGTGATAGTTTTGCTTACAAACTCAAGTATTTCCCTTAGGGTTACTTGCGAACTAAAGTATTTCCTATCAAATTGGTATCAGAGCATCGTCTTGGGACCATCGGCGGCTGAAATTCTGTAATTTCAATAGTTTTTTCGCATCTGGAAGAAGATCTCTTGTGATTCTTGGGAAGGAAGATGGCCGGGAAGAAGGTTGAAGTCTTGGAAGGAGAAATCGGGCAACTAAAATCAGATTTGGAGAAAATTTCTTATTTTCAAAATCAGATTACATCCAATAAAGAAAAGATAGAAGGGAAGTTCGCCTTGATGGAAGAGATGTTGAAGAAAATACTAGCAGTGAAAAACAATCCGGCGACATCGGAAGCAAGGGAGAACACCGGCAGCCATGGGAGGAGGGAATCCGAACCCCATTTAGGGGGAGGAAAAATCCGGAAGTGGAGATTCTTGAGGGAGAGGATGGCATGCCGCCTCTAGAACCCCTTTCTAGGAAGGAGATGAGTATGAGCTACGAAAGGAGGGGTGTTGATTTTGTGGGGAGAAGGGAAGATTTCCACTACAGATGTGCTGATTTTGAAAAAAGAAGAGGGGGAGATGAAGGGAATGGTTATGATCATCGGAGGGAAGATTGTGACAACTAGGGAGCATTTCCTCGTGGAATGGGAGGTTATGGAGGATTCAGAGGCCACCAGGGTGACTCAAGGGTGAGGAAGCTAAAGATGCCCATCTTTGAGGGCGAGGATGGCCATGGATGGATCTACGAGGTGGAACAATATTTCACCGTCAGTTGACGGAGGAAGAAAAACTAATTGCGGCCGGACTGTGTTTAGAGGGAAAGGCACTAACATGGTACCAATGGCGAGACATGAGGCAGCCCATCCGGAGCTGGAGGGAGTTTTAAAGAATGCTTACTAGAATATTTCCGAATTGAAAGGGAAGGAGACTTCTATGAGCAATTATTTGCCTTGGCACAGGAGGGGACGGTAGAAAAATATCGTGACAAGTTCGAGTACCTGGCCAGCAGATTAGACCAGCTCTCTGAGATAGTATTAGAGGGGAATTTTATGAAGAGGCTGAAATCGGAGATACGGGTAGCGGTTAGGGTGATGAGGCTAAGAGACATAGGGGAGGCCATGGAGCTAGCCCAGTTGGTGGAGGATCAGAAGTAGCTGGAGAAAGGGGCTAGGGGGAGCAGTTCAGGGAGTAATTATTCCGTCAGGTTACCGAATGCATCCGGAAACCAATACCAAAACGCCACATCACTAAAGTGCTCGGTACAGCGCACTCGGTACACTCGGTATGCTCGATATTGCTCGGTATTTTCACCGGATGGAATAGTTTTTCCAGTTCAGGGGGGGTCGTACAGAATGACCACCACCTTCTTAGCTCCAAAGGGGACAGCGCCAGGGAGTCTGAAGGAAGTGCCCAAGGAGAGAGCTGAAGGAGGGGGAAATGGGGGGAATTTCAAAAGATTGACTGAGAAGGAGGTATAGGAAAAGAGGGAAAAGGGGTTGTTTTAGAAGTGATGAGAAGTACATGCTGGGGCATATGTGTAAGGACGGAACTCTTCAAGTTCTCACCGTCTGTGATGACGAGGAAGCTGAAGAGAGAGGTGAAAGCGGGTTAGAGATGGAGGAAGAGGAGAAGTTGCATTTGGATGTGGCAGAAGTCTCCCTAAACTTAGTAGTGGGATTCACCCCAAATCATACTATGAAGGTGAAGGGAGAGATAGCTGAGAGAGAGGTGGTAGTGCTGATAGATAGTGGGGCAACCCACAATTTCATCTCCACCCAAATGGTAGATCTGCTGGGGGTGAAATTAGTGGATACAGAGGGCTAATGGGTGATGATGGGCACGGGAATTATGAAAATGGGTAGATGAGTTTGTAGGGGGTGGTGTTGATCATTCAGGGGGTACAAGTGAAGGACTTTCTTCCCTTGGATTTGGGAAGCACCAACGTCATTCTAGGAATGAAGTGGCTACAGATCTTGGGAGAGACCAAGGTCAATTGGAGGACTTTGAGGATGGAACTGGTGGTTGGGGGGAAGCAAATGGTTATTCAGGGTGATGCAGGGCTATCTAAGAATGAATAATCTCTCAAGTCCTTGATTAGAACCATAGAGGAGGTGGGAGGAGGATATTTGGTGGAGTTGCATCGCTTGGAGGGAGTAAGATTGTAAGAGGAGGGCGACATTCTCTCTTAAGTGCAACCACTCATACAGAGCTACAGCGAGGTCTTTCAACCTCCACAGGGCCTACCACCAAATAGGGAATTGGAGCATGCTATTACTTTGAAGGATGGGGTGTCGTCGATCAGTGTTTGCCCCTACTGTTACCCTCAGATTCAGAAGGATAAAATTGAGAAGTTGATTCAGGAGATGCTGGAGGCTGGAATTATCAGGCCGAGTATGAGCCCTTTCTCTAGTCCATTCATACTGCTCAAGAAGAAGGAT